ATATTCTTCTTGAAATATGGAACAACATTTTCCCCAACAAATAAATACAAGACTATCAAGCAGTGATTCAGATAATAAAGAGGAATATAAGGAGAAATTAGACAATTAGACACGCAGCTTCCCTGCAACTCTGTATTGGAAAAATCACTTTGAAAATGGATAGACGAATGCACAATTTTTGTAGTATTTTAAAAGTAACAAAACAAAGTCAAGGAAAACAGATAAAATGAGCAGCACATACATGTTAAACAAATATTAGCCCTAATAAGAGACAATTAATAATATTGCAATGCATAGTAAAAATCAGCAAAAGCTTTTTCAGTTTTTACAACAGCATGAAGTGTCTCAGAGAGTGTCAGCAAAAGGCTGATGTACTAAAAGACTATTTCAAGCGCTTACTGCTGAAGGAAAGGAAACATTCCTTATGCTGTGGAAAGACAAAGTTCCATATTAAATAATAACAGCACAGAAAATAAGCACTTCTACACTTCACTACAGCCTGATGGTATTGTAATAATGTACCGCAAGGCAAATGGTGATTGTATTCATAGGCTTCTAAAAAAAGCATGTTCTTTTGTTGTTAAGATGGTATTATATTTGCAAACAGTGCGTCAATACGTCAAGAGAAATCATAAAATAAATACAACGTTATAAATCTGAAACATCGAAAAGCAGAATCACGAATGACAAAGAATGATAAATTATTTAAAATAAAAACTTGTGAAAGGTGTAAGATTTCGACATTCAATACATACAGAGTAAGGAATATCTGTAGCAGTAATCGTGGTTAAAAAGTCAGAACGATAAAGTGCCGCTTTAGTCAGTTTATTGTATTAACAGAATAACCCCAACCACTTATTTTGTAATCGGGTGATTTTCAAAATAGCAGCGCAAAACTCAGAACATGCTTAATGAGTTTAACACTCGTAGTCACATCGAGATTTTAAGGACGTTTTTTTAAAAAAAAAATCCCTGAACTTTATTCTAATACTTTATAAATATCTTGCACTCAGAACATGACAGTCACACACCCTGCCCTCACTGGACTCATCCACATCGCTACACCTAGAGCAGTGCTCCTGTCAACGGATGCGGAAGCGTGTACTGTCGAGTTAAGAGGACGTGGCAAAAGCTCTCTCACCACAATCCGCCGCGTATTCGTCCCATTCGGAAGGTGAGTTGCATCCATGCTTGTGTAGTTCGCTGTTGAAGAAAGTGAGAGAGGAGAAGTATTCCGTAGAAAATATAGCCTGACAACAGCACAACAGTAAGACTGCAAACACAACAACACCCCGGACAGCAGGTGCCATGATGTGCATGTATGTGTGCAGGTGAGAAGCACTGCCGTCGTGGTAATGTAGTCCTGTGCAGCTATATGTTCCAAATAAAGCGACAGGAAGTTAAGAGGTTCGTTAACTACATCTCCCGACTTGCAAAGGGAGAGCTCCGCCTCTCTCTTAATATCCAGGAAGTGGCGTGCGGAGCCGGTAGCTTTAATAGAAACAAGGTGAGGATGGCAGCAAGAGCTTCGTTTCGGTGTATTGAATGCAACGAAGAAGCATATGAACTGCATCGGGATTATAGCAACGGAATATTAAAAATTACTATTTGTGTAAGTGAATATTTTGTACAGTTTTCACAATAGAAATTCTACAATACTCTTTGCTACGAAGAAAGTGTGCGTGTTTGGCATGACTTGGGATTTGTACATGTGCATCATTTCTTTCTTCGCAAAACAAGCACCAGAAAAGAACATGTTTATCAATTTTTTGACATGAGAACTTTTGCAGACTAATCGTAAATTTGAAGAATAAAACATTGGAATCACAATGAAAGATAATAAAAAATAAATGAAATACGTATTTTGGAAAATAGTTTCATAGCTATGTAGTTTTTTTTAAAAAAACATGAATGATTCATGTAAAACTGTAACTGTGCACATTATTATTCTATAATACATCCATAAATAATTTTGAAAATATTATGCCCCTCACGATTTAAGCCGGTTAAAAAATGTATTCATTTATTTATTCAAACGGAAAGGGATAGTTTGCCAATGTTTTAATAACACATAAAAACAAATTGATACACAAGCAGAGGATTGTGTATCAATGTTTTTATGGATTAAGGATTAGACTTTAAAAATATTGAATAGCTAATTCCAAATGCTTGTTGTTTTTGCAGGATTGATTTTAAAATTTATAATGTTAAGATTATAACTTAAAAAACATAAAAATATTGTAGTTCCTAAGTACAAAGTTGCAGTGAATGCAAAACCAAAAAATCGGTTTATACTGTATGTTAAACTTTGCTATATCTTTTAAAGTCTTTATTATAAGCAAACGTTACATTGAGTCAGTGAATAACTATCCTAAATCACAAGTCAAACGGACTTGTTCTTGTTACTACATTTATTATGATTATGCTTGTAGGACCAAAAGGGCAGAACATTTTTACATTTCCTCTTTGTAACTCATGTCAGATTTTTTCTTTTGTAAATTCACACACTAATATACTGGTTTCCTGAAAGGCCACAGACTAAAGGAGCACAGTAAATGGAACAGAAAGGAAATCTGGTCCACAGGGAGGATCAGACCTTGAGTTTTGAAGTTATGAAAGGATGAATGAAAATAGTTATGGCACCACATGGCCAGCAATTTGTCTAACAGCTATATTTTCAGTACTCTGTCTTGCATGGTTTCCACATGAATTCTGTGGTTGTCCATTACTTCTGCTTTGACATGTCCATTAGAGCCAAGCTGGCTGGACATTTCAAAGTAGTTGAGAAAACTAGCAGGATCTCAGCTTCCATCTAACTGAGCAGGGGTGATTGTGAGGCTGCTGTCTGATATCCACCACCACCAATGTGCAGCATCCACCTGGATGATGCAAGGGCAGCCATAGTGCACCAGAACGCTCACCACACATCAGCTATCAGTGGAGGAGAGCAGAGTAATGAAGCCAATTCATAGATGGGGATTATAACGAAACCATGATTGGTAAGAGCCAATGGGAAATTTGGCCAGGACACCAGGGTTACGCCCCTACTCTTTTCGAGAGATGCCCTGGGATTTTTAATGACCAGCGAGAGTCACGACCTCGGTTTTTATGTCTCATCAGAAAGACGGTGCCTGTTTATACTATAATTCTTCATCACTATACTGGGGCATAAGGACCCACATGGACTGAAGGGGGAGTGCCCCCTGCTGGCCCCACTAACACCACCTTAATCAGCAACCTTAGTTTTTTCTAGGACTCCCATCCAGGTACTGACCAGGCTCACACCTGCTTAGCTTCAGTGGGTTGCCAGTTGTGCATTGCAGAGTGATATGGCTGCTGGCATATTTGAGCTTCATTTCAGCAGTATTGATACATTTAATAATTTAATGTAATTTAACAAATTTTTAGCAATCATTTATTAAACAAAAAAAAGTCAGAAATGCAATTGTCTGCTGTGGGGAAAAAAATCAATAGCTTCAATAGCTGGTGTTGTCCCCTTTGGTAGAAATCACTTCTTGTAGACGTTTCTTTTAATTGTCTATCAGTCTCCTATGTCAACTTGGAGAAATTTTTGTCCACTTCTTCTTACAGAAGTCCTTCAACTGTGTGATTTTGGAAGGCTTTCTTGTATGTACTGCCCGCTTCAAGTCCCCCCACAGCATTTCTATGGGGTTAAGAGCTCGGCTTTGACTTGGTAATTCCATAAAGCTCAATTTCTTCCTTTTGAGACATTCTTTTGTGGATTTGCTTGAGTGTTTTGGGTCATTGTCTCGTTGTAGGGTCCACTTACGGTTCAGCTTCAGCTTTTTGACAGATGGCCTCATGCTCCTCAAGTACACAAGGCAGAAAAGCAACCCCAAACCATAATTCTTCCACCACCATGCTTTACAGTTGGTATGGGGTCAAATACAGTTTTTGGTTTTCGCCAAACATGACATCTGACATTGTGGCCAAACAACTCTACCTTTGTCTCATCTGTCCAGTGCACATTGTTCCATTAGTCCTGATCTTCACCTAGGTGTTGTCTGGCAAACTTCGGTCGTGCATCTATATTCTTTTTTGAGAACAGAGGCTTCTTCCTTCCTGACCTCACATGTAGGGCAAAGTTGTGCAGACTCTTTTGGATGGTTCTCATGCACTTTGACATTGACTGAGGCAAGACTTGCCTGTAAATCCCTTGATGTTATCCTGAGGTTCTTGGGAGACTTCTTGTAGCATCTTTCGGCCAGCTTTTGGTCTGTATTTGGTGGGACTTGGCCTGGAAAGATTGGCAGTGGTTTGAAATTTTCTCCATTTGTAGATGATCTTTCAGACAGTGGAGTGATTGACTACAAATTGCTTGGAAATCACTTTAAAACCCTTCCCAGACTCATAGGCATCAACAGTATTTCTTCTGAGGACCCTGGAGAGCACTTTTGATCTTGGCATCATGTTGCCCCACACATCAATTGCTAAGACCAAACCAAACCACAGCTTTCTGATGTTTATATAAGGCAGTGCCCTCCAGGTTACTCTCTAATGGTGTTCTAATCATTTGCACCTGTTTTGGTGCACCTGATGCTAATTTTAGGCATTTAATGCAATGATAAAGGTAGGGGTGTACTAACTTTTTCCCCACAAGGAAATTGCATTTCTGTTGATTCAAATAGTACAAATGAGTGTAAAATGTTATTTCTTAAAATGTGATTACCTTTATCTATCAGTATTGTTGAAATGGCAATCAAATATCCTTTTGTCCAAAAAGTCTATCATGATTGAGCATACACTCTTTAACAGTGTGATATTTTTTTTCTCACAACCAGCTCTGTCCACTCAGACTTGACTACTAATCCAGTTTTTGTGCTGATATGTATTAAAATTTCAAACTGAAAGTGCTTTGACATCTAAGTAATTTTTTTCAGCCTTGAATTATCAAAGCTTCATAATTTTGATGGTTCTCAATGATGTATTTTTTTTTGTTTGGTTTAATTTGTATTTGATGGACTGCTGTCCTCAGCTATACTGTCAAAAGACTAGCTAGGATTTAAATGATTTAAAATCCCAGTGAGTCCATTCCACATCTGTTCTTTTGAAGGCAATCTTCTGTATTTAAAAAGTGAAATTTACAACAGTAAATTACAATTAATTACAACTATGGTAAACGTCAAACTGACAATGTTTTCACAAAAGTCAGAAGTGAACCAAAATAATGTGTTTTTGTGGTTTTCCTTTCCAGAAATCCTGTCAGAAACCTGTGGACAAATATATAGAATATGATCCAGTTATTATTTTGATTGATGCCATATTATGTAAAGTTCAAGCATACAGACACATCATATTTAATACAAAATTAAATGTAAGTATCCCTTTTCATTTTATTCGCAAATTAATCTGTGAGGGTTAACGCTTGCCAACTAGTAATTTGATGTATTGCCAGGGATGTCATTATCCATCTTAACCTTGCAGTAGAATTAGGTATTGTTTCAGAAAATATAGATTAAACATATTTACACTTGGGGAAAAAAGGGTTCGATTGTAGGCTGCACTTGCTTGCTGCCTGCCAGTGATTGGAGCACCCAGGCTGCAGTATATTGTTGAGAGCTGTTAGGGTGTGAGTGGGTTGAGCTCATTTTAGGAATCCTGGGCTCATCTTTCTCCAATTCTCCCAGCCTCTGGCTGGCAAAGCTGTGGTGTTTGTCCTCCAGCTGATATGCAGGGCATTGCTTTCCCTGTATTTAAATTGTCCATCCCATAGTAACTTGGTTTGTCTGAAGTGAAAACTACATTTGAAATCTACTGTGACGGGGACACTGTGCTGTAAGCAGGCGCCGTCCTTCAGATGAGACGTAAAACCGAGGTCCTGACTCTCTGTGGTCATTAAAAATCCCAGGGCGTTTCTCGAAAAGGGTAGGGGTGTAACCCCGGCGTCCTGGCCAAATTTCCCATTGGCCCTTACCAATCATGGCCTCCCAATAATCCCCATCTATCAATTGGTTCATTACTCTGTTCTCCTCCCCACTGATAGCTGATGTGTGGTGAGCGTTCTGGCACACTATGGCTGCCGTCGCATCATCCAGGTGGATGCTGCACACTGGTGGTGGTGGAGGGGAGTCCCAATTACGTGTAAAGCACTTTGAGTGGAGTCCCCAAAAAAAACGCTATATAAGTGTAAGCAATTATTATTATTATTATTATTATTATTATTATTATTATTACTGTATACAGTTTGAAAAACAAGTGCATGACTTTACAGTATGTAACACAATGTTTGTTTATTTATCTTTACAACCTCCTGTGCTTGTGCAAAGTTCAACAGAGGGTTGAATGGTAATATACAGTATTAATTTAAGGGGAGGCATAAATATCTGTTTTAAAGAAATTAAAGATTGTTGCAGTGACTAAAAGCCAAAATATTACTAAGCATATAAGGTTTTTAAAAATTAAAATAGCAAACTATTAAAAAAAATCAAGACATCCTTGAAAACACTTTCGAAGAAATTTCTGTGCAGTCATCTTAGGGAAAAGTGGATTCCTCCGAGAGCACATAAGGATCAGAAACCTCCCTGCTAGGAAGAGGATGAAATAAACCTTAGTTCTCTTTTAAAAATAAACTTCCCCTTCAGTCTCCAGCAGTAGGCTGGTCTGGTATACGAGCAGAAGCTTGTAGTGAAATGAGATCTAAATAATATGTTTACGACTACTCATTGAAAAAGATGTGAGTGCTTTTATGTAATCTCAGTGTATTGCAATGCCGTTCCATCACTAAAAGTCACTACTCCTGTTTATTGAGTTTTGTATATTCTCAAATTAAGATCTCATTTCTGAGAGTTTTCTTGGTTGCTTTCAATTGCTAGATTCACGTGAAGCTGTGTGTATTTTGTCTGCTGTGTGAAGCTTATCTGAGGTGGTCGCAGCACCAAGGAACAGAGCAAACCAGTGATCCAGCAGACATCATCAGATATGCAAAAGAGTGGGAGTTCTACGGCATGTTTGGTCTAGCTGCTTTGGGTAAGCATAAGACAATGTTCAAATGAATCCTTCTTTAGTTTAAAACAAATGAAATACCTGTTTAAGGTTATTTGACTACCCACTGGCACTCAACAACTGACATTGGAGGAGAGGGTATACAGTAAGTGACATCATGTATTCTACTATCACCTCACCTGCTACTGAATTATCTACTGAATGTTATAAATATGTACTAAATGTTTATTGATAGCAAAATCTTTAGTACATGGCCAAGTTTAATTTCTAATGTAAATGAAAATGAACTGTTTTATCTGGAAAAGCTGTGTTTTATTAAAATCCATGTTTCACACATGTGTGGTTCCAGTCAGTTTGCATACCAAGGTAAATAAATCACAATCATTGGCATAGAAAAACCTGCCAAAGTGGGGCTCAAGACTGGAATTATAAAAAAAAAAAGTGAACCTTTAAAAGATTTTTGCTGTCACCTGTGATTTCCTAGGTGCTGGTCATTGTGTACTCCTTTCATGCTCCACCTGACTTTTCCCACAGAGCTTGGTGTGTTCCTGGGAGGAGTGCTGGCATTCCTGTGCTCAGTACAAGGGCTCCTCACTACCAGCCTGGATCCCCACTTGCTGCTGAAGGCACTGCTGCTGTCCAGCTATGGGAAGCTGCTTCTCATCCCAGCAGTGATCTGGGAGCATGACTACTCCCCTCTCTGCTTTAGCCTCATCAAACTCTTTGTTCTGACATCAAACTCCCAGGCTATTCGAGGTATGAAGGTTCCTTCCTATTTATCATCCCTGTTTTGGTGCTCTCCTGATGTTCTCGTGCCTGTTTTGTTTTTGTTTTTAAGCATCTTAGTTATTTTTAACAAGATCAAAAAGTACCTGATCTAAAATCTATAAAACATTTCAGATCACTACTGTTTAAGCTGTAATAATGACCCCAAAGAGTTAACACCCATTCCGTTTGCTATTCTCTAAGTTTGAATCTGTTTTTAATTTTTTTACAGACCTTATTCACAATTGACAATCTTTCACCTTCGCTGGCAAGGCTGTAATTCTTAGTGCCCCCTGCCCATGCCTTCATCCACTCTCATTTTTCTACTGATTTGGGAAGACTACATCAACAGCACTGTACCTTTCTTCATCCTGTAGCTAATCCTAGCAAAACCAGGAAGTAGCCTGTTTTCCAGAGGAAGATCAATTCAATAGTTATGGACAACATTGCATCCTGTAGCTGTCCCAGAAGGACTGAAAACTGGGGAGCAGCCTTTCCTTTTGAGCGATCATCACTAGACTATACAATCCATTCCATTGTAGACACTTCATTTTAATGTAATTTAATGTATGATAACCAATTATAAGTAAAGACCTGACTGCATCAGTCTCCTGCAGTGAAATGGATCAGATTCAGTGAATCATTACTGCAGCTCTTGTCTCGATTGCTACATTCAGTTATTTGTTTTAAAATAAAAAAGCTAACTGGTACAAGAGAAATGTATATATCCCTATATATATATATTTCCCTATGTGTGGCAAATCATAAAGAACCTAATTAAAAAAGTACTAATCTAATTATCTGCCTCTTAAACAATTAATTTACCAGGCCCTTTTTTTGCTTATTATAAGTTTCACATATCTTCCAAACACTATCATGCAAAAAACAAGACATACTATATGAAAAAATAACTACTGCTGTTACTGTGAGAGTGATGTTTCGTTTTGCAGGACCTCAGCATTTTGTTTGCAAAGTGTTACGAATAGGGGATTAAAAAATGAGAATTGGCAAAAAAAGATGCAGAGGCATAATCAATAATGAAAATAAATAATCATAACAACCAAATTGGTCAAAGCTGCCTGAGCAGCTGGTGTAATTAGAGGCACTTGAGATCTGGCACAAGTTAGACGAAGGAGTAATGAAAATAATGCACACTAAATTACACAACACAAAACATATTTACAAACGAGGGGTCTCAGAGGCCAATGTCTTGACTAGCCATATAAAAAACCCTGCTTCTGGGACTGCTGCCAGTTATTAAAAAATCGTACATTTAACACCTACAGAGGCAAAGAAGAGAGATAAAAATCCCTTCTAAATAAAACAGAATGCAACCTAGATTTAGGTCTCTCTATAAATCTACTACAAAGCTTACTACGAAGTGAATGGGACCCTATCTCCCAATTCTAAAAATTGCATTCACTAACTAGGAGAGACCTTTGTAAACCAAGGGTTTCTCTATGCAGGAAATCAAGAGTTTTCGATATACAACAGAATGGCAAGCTCTCTTAAGTTTCAGATACTAAACCAGAATCTGTTTTTTATGGATGATCCAAACCAGGACCTCTCTGGTGTATTCCTTTTCCCTCTCCTTTGTTCTTCCCCTCTGTCTTTTTTCCCCCTGTGTTCCTAGAGTATTTATGACTTAATAATTTACCCAATAACTTAATTAACATAGGTAAACCAAGATAAACCTTAGTTTTCTTTGATCAGTGTGTCTCAGACCCCCCACCCCCCACAACTCAACAAACACCTCATATTCTTTTTGCTTTGAAGTTTCCCAGAAATGCAAGTGTTGAGACTAACAAGGTGTTGACCACTCCCCCATCTAGCTGTAAAAGTAGTATAATACGCAACCAGAACAGTCTGCTTTTAATATCCTTAAGCAAAAAACATTTTTAATAGTAGTGCAATATTTCATTTGGTGTAAATTTAAGTGTTTATTTTTAATATTGTATTTAATATATTTTTATTGGATGTTTCATTAGTAGTAGTAAAAATCTTACAGCATCTTTTATCCTTGGTGACTTACACTTAATTCATTTCTGGGGCCACCAAAGTAAACCACTCGCCTGAGCTCTGTGATCTAGGTGTTGCAGGTTCAAGCTGGGTAATGTCGCTAGCTCGCTGTGACTGGAATTCCCAGAGTGGATGCACACAATTTACTGAGTTCCCCCGAGCTTCGGATGGGAATTGTCTCAAATACTCTCTTGGTTAAACCTATTGACAAACATGGCCTCCCAGGTGCTATTGGTGAAGGGCATACCTCTCCTTCAGTTGGTGTTGTACCTCCAGTAGGGGGCTGTGTTGCCTGTAACATGTAAAAAGAAGTGGCTCTTAAGAGTTGCTCGAAAGTGAGCTGGTTGAAGCAGTCTGCCTGCACTTCCTTATCCTCTTCTGTCTGAGTTTACAGCGTTCATAACCATGAACCAACACATGAGAATCATACAACTGGCTATTCCGAGTGGGTATGACTTAATTGGTAATTCTTAATTTTAAGAAAGGAACTTTATTACCTGTAATGTAAAGTACAAACTCAAGATGATGGTAAATACATTAATAATAATAATGTTTCTTTATTAGCCCTATACAATTTCTTGCATTAGGAATTCATCTTTTTCACATACCCCAGCTTTTATCCATGGAGACACAGACACACAGACAGGGAGAGAAGCTTGGGGTCAGAGCGCAGGGTCTGCCATTGTACAGCACCCCTGGAGCAGTTAGGGTTTAGGGCCTTGCTCAGGGGCCCAACAGAGTAGGATTCCTCTGCCGGCCGCAGGATTTGAACTGGCAACCTTCCAGTCACAGGTGCAGATCCTTAGCCACAGAGCCACCCCACTTATATACTGCAAAGCTAAGAGATGGGTTTTACAATCTCTACTATAAATCCTACCTATATTCTGCAGAGAGAATCAAAAACAAAATGAAACTTAAAACCGAGCCAGTTGAGCAGATAAGGTGCAGGATTCTGATACAATATGCCTGAGTGGGGAAAAGAACCAAGAGTAGGACTAGCACAGTCATGAAATTGAGAGTGTGCAGTAGGACAAAGAGATCAAGGAGGCGGCTTGCCTTCTGATATTGAGGTGTAGTTCATGTTATACAGTATTGTGCCCATGAAGCCCATGCTGATCTTGAACTCACCAAAGATGTAGGGTGTGAATCCTTTCTCCTGCAGTCTTATAGAACACTGCAATGTCTTAAAATAAGTCACCATAAAGCGAAGTCCTACTTTCTAGAATGAATGTTCCGAATATATACAAGAAATAATATAGGCATGTGTTGTGTAACTGTAATACTTTTATGTACAGTATATAACAAATTACTGAATAACAATACAAAATAACTGTTTATCAGAATAATCTAAATAGTTTAAGATACATTTTGTTAATCTCTTTTCATGTTACCTCTATTTTATCTATCACTATTACTGAAACTTTTTGTCCCTGACTGATTGCAGTTTTTTTATTATTTTCTGTTTTTCAGTTGTTTTGAACAGCAGCAAAAGGCTCTCCGTCTTTACTGTATTTGTTGGTTTTCTGCTGGAAACCTCTGCAGCATACATCATCCAAAAAATTCAGTGGATCACATAGTGACAAGCAGGATGTGCAGCTACTCACGTTTCTCCCGTTACTGGTCTTCAAGAAATGTCCTTGGCAAAGACTGCATCCTTTGAAGTCAAACGTTGAAGACTTAATAATTGACGCAGCGCCCTGTGGATTGTGTTCATAATAATGGTCTTGCAAATTGGAGAACACTGTTACAGTACAGTGTTTAGCTTAGTGTGCTAATCTTGTGATGAGGCACAAGCCTTTTAAAGTACAGTGCTTTGCACAGAAACATTGGACTAAAAGCTTAAGAATTCAGGTAATCAGAAAAGCAGCCTGTGGGTTTGTGGATTGTCGATAATGCTAAAATAAAAATTGTATTTAATAAAAGCAGAACTAAAGTTATTTCGGAATAATTTTGCTCTAGTAAAAGTTAAAAAGCAATATTACATAATAGTGTTTTACAAGCAATAATGTTTCTTTAACTCTTAAAGTATCTGTCAAATTTAGACACATTGAATTTCTCAAATATTATTGCGTGATGGTACAGCACTTGACAGATTGACATTTTATCACGCAGTTGGGCAGTTGTTTTGTTCGTCTTTGTCCTTGCACTGTGTGAAATTCTGTTGAACATGACTTATCTCCATGGTAATTTAACACATGCTTGTTTGGAATTGCAAATATTTGGCACACATTCACTCAAGGCTATGCCCAGGTCATTGGGTTCTCATGAATCCCCATAGTTCATGATGCAGATTGTTGTTAAGAATATTTTTGCCTTAAATATATGTGTAACTCCCAAACTGATCAGCAAAAAAGATATTAATTGTTTCTTTAGAAATACCCTGTATTAGTTTTAGAAGCAAGGTGGAGAAGGATTTTTAAAAATGTAGCTGTACCAATTAGCATGTGTTGCATCAATTGTTTTAAGTAAGGTGCCTGTTTTATGTTTATTATTCACATGCTATCTCTTATACTATATGTGTGTGTTCAAGTATGGACATTTTTCTTTTATAATTTGGAACCACCAAGAAACAATGCCATCCTTATTTTTAATCAGAAATGACCCTTTCTCTTTGTGATTTTGGTATCAGCTAAGTAGGAATGAAGACTTACATGGTTTCCCCCAAAATGTGCACTGTGGGGCCATTTTGCACACAATGAACTATGTAGCACCTTACAGAAGAGTCAGCATTGATTACAGGAGTGATACTGTTTTGCCTCCACGCTCGGGTTGCATCCCAAAAGACCTAATCCCACTTAACCCTGTCAGCACTCCAGAATTGTAAGTCTTTGTTAGGCAATTCCATGCAAAGTCCGCTAGTGACATGGAGTCAGAACTGCAGTGCCCGGTCTCTGGACCATACCTGAGTAAACACCTTTTAGGGTTGAGTCAGCAAACTGAATAACATATCAAGACATCATCTTGGAATTATGCAGCAGTGGTATAGGCACTAGAATGTAGTGTGTACATAGTGTGACATAATGTGCTGCTAATAAAGAAAAAAGACAAAGGCGGACTTCCATTATCCTCAGGCTTGAAAAAAAGGTATTTATGTAGAAGTTGTAAATAGTGATAGAAGTGAAACATTATGAGGATGTGAACAATGAAAATAAAAATTCAAAAAGTTACTCTTTTTACATTTCTAGTACATTTAAAGCTATATAAAGATAGTGGGTGTAGAAAGTATTGATTCCCCATTGTATTTTGCCATATTTTCTCATTACAACTGGCAAACTTGATAGATTTACTAATTTTTTCCCTGTTTATCCATACAGCATCCTCCACAATATCAATGTGTTTAAAAGTTTGCAGCTAAAAAATAAATTCCTCAAATTAAAACCCCTTAAAATTGTTATTAGGAAAGCTATTCACCCCCTTACCATCAACACACTTTGATAATCTTTGCCACAACCAGTTGCCTTCAGAATTTGCACTATGTTAAATGGAGTTCACTTGTGTGCAATTAAAAAGATTTCAGATTTAACACACCTGTCTTTGTAAAGTTAAATACATCTGTCTCTGTGAGTTACCACATATTAAGCAATTTAAAGACACAGGAGCCTCAGGAACAACTAATGAACAGAGAATTTGGACAGGCACAAGTCAGGCAAGGGATATAACAAGATTTAAAAGGCACTGTGTATTCCTCAAAGCACTGTTAAATCAAGTATCAGGAAGTGGGGGGACACATAAAACTGCTCAGAATCTTCAACGATCAGGTTGTCCTCCAAACCTCAGCTGGGCAAGAAGGTCATTGGTCAGAGAAGTAGACAAAACAATGAAAACAACCTCAAGACCTACTATATCTCATAATTGAGATGGGAGAAGCTGTGTGAGTCAACAGTACCTCAGGTACTCCACAAACCTGGGCTATATGGTAGAGTGGCAAGGAGGAAGCCATATTTTAAAAAAGCTAGCATGAAGTCAAGCAAAAAGACAATAAGGAGCTTTGGAAACATTGTATAAACAAATTGTGGTCTGTTGAGACAGAAATTGAGTTATTTGGTCTTAAGGCCAAGCATTGTCTACTGAAAGAAGAGCACTACTCATTACTCACAAAACACCATCCCATATTGAAGCATGGCAGAGCCAGTATGATATTGTGGGTTGCTCTTCATCAGCAGGGACTGCTAGGCTTGTCAAAGTAGAGAGCAGACTGAATGAAGCAAAATATAGGCACGTGCTAGAGCGATTCTAGGATCAGTCTATGAAAGATTTGAAACTGGAATGGAGATTTATGTTTCAACAGAACAATAACCAAAAATACAAAGCCAAAGTAACCCCATTGAGTGGCTTATACAGAAGAAATCCTTGAGTGGCCCAAAGTCCAGCCTTAAATCCCATAGAAAATCTGTGGCAGGAATTTAAGATTGCTGTACACCACCTCTTTTCGAGTAACCTGCAAAAGCTCTAGCAATTTTGTAAGGAAGAGTGGGCAAAAATTAAATCTGCAAGATATGAAAAGCTGTTTACCAACATGCCACAGAAGGCTTAAGGCTGTCATTGCTGCAAAAGGGGGAGCAACTAAATATAAGAGATAAGCTAAGATCACTTTATGAGCCATATACAATTTCTTGCATAATGAATTTGTCTTTTCACATACTCTGGCTTCCTCTCAAGGAGACACACAGATAGGGAGAGAGAAGCTTGAGGTCAGAGCACAGGGTCAGGCATTTTACTATATTTATACAGCACCCCTGGAGTAGTTGGAGTTAAGGGCCTTGCTCAGGGGCCCAACAGAGTAGGATTCCTCTGCCAGCCACAGGATTTGAACCAGCAACCTTCCAGCCACAGTGCCACTGCTCTGCCCATTGGGATCTACAGAGCCTCATCTCCCACAGACCAGCGCCTTACAGGACAAGCCACAGCACCGGGGATATATCTAAATGCTTAAGGTCCCAGGGGGGTGAATACTTGTTCAGCTGGATATATAGTTTTCTATTTTTCATAGAAATGTTCTTTTACCAAAAAAACGACTATGCCCCATCAAAACATCAAGTACTGTATGTTTTGTTTATGATACAAGAAAGTCCTGTTTAAATGTGTTGCAGTTTGAGGTTGTAACACAGCAAAATATGATAGAGGTCCAAAGGAGGTTAATACTTTCTACATCCATTGTATATGGATGAGAACCCTATTTCTTGATATTTAAAAACGTTTTGGCACACGTTTTGTTACTTGCATAGATTAAATGAGTGATTTTCTTTCCTTTTGTGAAGCTCACTTGAATTTGTTTTCTTTTTTTCTGTGGACAAAATATTCATCTTCACAATATACTACTCAAGATGAGGGTACAGCAGTTTACAATCTGGTTGTGTGAACATTTACCTTTTCTGAGAAAAAATGGTTAAGAAGCAAGTGATACTTCACTAACGTCTAGGCAACCTAGGCAAGACTGGGCCTGGTCAGCACAGTACAGGTAATAAAGATGAAACTAATGAAAACTAACTTGCTTCAGAAAATGGACTTGGTGAATCAGTAGGTGTCACTTTCCTGAATGTCCAGAAATGCCCAGAATGGTAACTTGGGTCACTACTCTAAGAAATGCTGCCTTTTGGATGAAACATGAAATCAGAATCCTCATTGGACTATCCAGCACAGCTTGTAAATAAATATACTGTATGCAAATTATAAATATATGGGTATATCTCTATCTTACCCAGGATTTAATACTATAAAACTTACAGAACAAGGCAAAAGTGTTTTCTTAAAAAGCACTAGCACATTATTAATTTCTTCAAGTAAATTTTTTGAAAGAACAGGCCCCGTCTAAAGAGATTATAGATGTAGCATTCACACATGTGAAGACACTTGAAAAGTACAGCTTTTTAAGGTTTCACAGTGTGGAATTATCTTTTGCTATGAACACAAACAGGGCTCAGGCAGTGACAGGATTGGGAAACGTGGGTGTTACAGTAGAGATGGATGCTGTTTCGAGACTTAAGTTGTTTTTGTGCAGCTGTTGGAAGAAGCCCCCCCTCTATTGTTGTGAAGAATTATCCTCAAAACTTTCTTGCAAGCACATGTTGAAATTAAATGTCAAGCCACTGCAAACCAAAGGGCAAACACAGAGCTGGTTTTGATAAAGAGATGTAGTGCTCCCAGCACTATTGAGCTCTTCTGCACACAGCTCTTCTTTTCCACCCAAGATTCACCTTAACAACATATTCCAACAGTATACCCTTGAGCTTTTCTTTTAAACTTCTCAGATAAGTCAAAAGCTAAAACACTATTAAAGTCCTCAAGGCACAGCTGAACTTAATAATTGTACAAAACAGTTAAATTGTTTTTATTGTTTTATGAAGCATACATTGTGTTGAAAAAAGGTGATTAAAAATCCAAGTAGTGTTTATCATCACAATTCTCACAGTCAAGGATTTTTTCAGTGTAAAATGTTCCTTATAAAAGATGTGAAAAAATGGAACTGACATTAACCACCATTCAGCCCACTCAGGATATCATTACAGAATTAGTTTATTTAAATCAGTGTAGTTAATAATAATATAATATCTTCAGTTTAAGCCTATGTAAACTTTTAACTGAATTAAAGTAAAAGGCAAGGTTCTTGCACAATATCTAACTCTAGCCCAGATAAAAGGAAATAGTTGTGGATTTGGCATCCAAACAGTACTGTTATTCTGTATGTTTTAACATTTGTCAGCTTTTGAAATACATGACTGTTCAACAAAAATAACCCTTTTCGTACAGATGTAAGAGACCATAGTAACACTGTAAAAGTAAAAAAAATTATCTTTAAGTTTAAAGCAAAGATGGATGAGAATGCGTCCTTCGTTTTCCAAAGTGTTATCTAATGCAAAGTGTTCTGTTGTTTTCAAACATCAGGGTTGCCAGGGGTTCTGGATTCATGAAGTTGAGACACTCAGAGTTGAAAGTCGATTGTATTTTTACAGCTATTACCATTTCAGAGGAAAATGGGTGTGTGACTTACTGTATATCCGTAATTAAGGGGAAAACACATAAGTCTTGCTCAAGTCTTGCTATGCCATGTGACTCCCACAGCAAACAAATGTAAGCCTGTATGCTCACTTCAAAACACACATCAGTGTTTGAAAAATATGGAGCAGGCTATAAGATTTCTTACAGGTAAATTTATATCAAAAGCATATTCCACCTTATAAACAATGGGCAACTTCAAAGACTTGTTAACTGTGGGCTGTTGTTCTAGAGCTGTCTCCATTTCACACACCTTTTCTTCTCAATGTAATGTTCTGTTTAATTAAAAATGTAACCAGACATTATTATTAATTCTAAAAGAGTTTTTGCTCCATGGCTTGAAAGGTACATTTTTAATGATTGTACTACAGCAAAACAAGAAAATAAGACATTTGCTTTCAGTCTATACCCATCATTAATGCAGTATCAAGAAAAGCCATTTGCCCAGTTTCCTAGTTTTTAAAAGACTCACAACAACTTTTACATTTTACTTTTATTTATTTTTGTTGGGGTAAGAAACTGGAATCCTCAATCAAAAAGAGTAGTTTATCAAACACCCACTTAACAAAGACATCTCTAAAATATACTGAGTGTGAAAAACTTTTATTATTTTGTTATAGTAAAATACATTTTATTTAATATGAATAGATAGGTAAAGTATGATTCTCATGAGCATTTGTCATCAACACGCTTTATCAACGGGGAGTTTTCTGTGGAAGTTACAAGCATTTAACATGTGTGACCACTGTTGAAAGTAATGCAAGATGCACATCTGGGAAGCACAATTTGCCCCAGGTTGCAGATGTTGTCTTGTGGAATCTGGACAAGCACATGCCTGCTCACTTTTCTCTGAGCACTAGACAGTAGATTGTCCCAGCTCGTCCCATAAATGTTTGATGAGGCTCAAGTCTAGGTAGTAGGACTCAACAGCATAACTGTTACATTCTTAACATACAATTGTAATGTGCTGTTGTAAATGGTGTGATGTCAGCATGAGTCTGCAGGAAGAGCATCAAGGTGGGTCCCAGAACTTCATCCAGGTAGCACTATGCAGTCATGTTGCCATCAGTCACTACAAATGGACTTCTGCAACTTGACTCCCCTGTCCAGGGGGTCTATTAGACTTGGACAAGACACCTTGTGTTGTGACTTGTAGTCTCCTAGACCTTAGGCATTGAG